TTCCATAGTCTACAGCAGGAATAAACAATTAAAATAAAATCACAACTGCAGTACAGCCACGTGCAACATCTAAATCACAACAGCTGCTATTTTATGGAAAAAAGGTCAAAAGAGTCACAAAATACCATCATGAATGAAGCATAGTGGAGCTACAAAGACGCCCTGGTGGCAGAAAAAAATCACGTCAATATTTGTTTCAGGGGAAAAGAAATGATCATTTAGCAGTTGCTAATCAATACATCTGTCAAAATAATTGTAAAAGGATTTCTGTTTTGTTTTGCTCATACAGCCTCTAAACGAGACCCTGACTTGAGCAGGTGGAAATGTCAGCTGGTCCAGTCCTTGAAAAATGGATCTAAGCTGATGACACTAACCTGTCAGTGGTGATGCTGACATTAGCAATTAGCTCAAAGTATCAGGTTACCAAAGCACAGCCTCAAAGGACCACCAGCACGGCTGTCGAGTCGCCATCGAGAGTCTGGTCCAAGTCCTGCTTATCAATGGTGTAAAAACTGGCAAATATTAAAATCGCTTGCTCCTGTACTCTGTCTTATTGATATTTTATCTCCACATTTCTGACAAATACAACACATGTGACTGTGATTCTCCAGGACTCAGATGGAGGGACAGAACATTAATCTTTCAAAAGATATTTCCTCAGTTAGTGTTTTGATGACAGTAGAGGAAGACAGAGGCTGACACATTGGTTTCAGATCTCAGATGGGTGTCGTATTGGGCCGAGATCTGGTGGCTACGAAGGCCACAGCATCGGATTCACATTTCCATCATCGCCAAACCATTCAGTGACCCCATCTCACTCTGGGGGAGACTGATGCCATCAGGGTCACAGGATTAAGGCAGAACAACTTTGTATTGATCTACAGTGGACACAAACTACAGCAGCAAGATGCCCCCTACAGCCCAACAGAGGCCCCAGATCCCCTCATGTGGAGGGTCAAGGGTTCAGGTTTTTCCCCTTAATTTGTCACCTGTCCATATTTCATGCACGGCAATACAGAATGGGGCCTAAACAATTGGCCACAACTATTCGAACTATTCTGAGTTTAGTGGACGTCTGACAGGCGATCACAAACAAGTATTGTCTGTGGACGTGACATAAAGCGCCACAAATGTCCCTCACCTGATTAGCGCGCACTCATCCTTGTTATTCCTGAGAAATCGTGAGTTAAGGCTCACTGGAGGCCAGATGGAAGTGCCGTCCTCAGCATTTCTCTGCTCTTGCTGGGAACGTGGGCTCTGTGGCATTGGTTCTCACCATTAACGGGGCTTCCCTCCTGAATAGGCCCTGCCAAACTATGCAGCGTCCCGCCGAGTCCAGAGATGAGGACATGGGCTTGCAGTGAAGCCTAGCAGTTCCAACTTCCTATCAATGACAACAAGCATCAATCTTAGCCGCCCTTAGTCCTGGACCCTGCCAAGCATGACTCCAGTGAGCAGAAAAAAAGCTAAAAACCTCAGGCTGCTGGAATTAAACAAAGGCTGGATTATCCCCTGAATATGTCTCTTAGCTGGACAGTTCATCTCTGAATCCCCCATGGCTCAGAGCGGAAGGAGCGTCATAATTTTTGCTCTTGACTGCTGTGGATGCAGCCAGTCTCCTCCTCCTCCTCCTCCCGGCTCACACTCGGGCCTTGTCTGCAGACTTCTGTCAGTTGCGTTGAGAGGGCTAATAAAGTTTGAAATAAAATCCAACCCTGTTGCTTCCATTTTGACTCAATCCAAAATACACCATTTAACACTGTATGTGACACTTCCAAAAACATTCCCTGTGACATTTATTCGCTCACACCTGCTGAAATCCAGCAATAACCCTGTTAAATAAGTGAGGTGTGGAGTATTGCTCAGGAGCGGTAGTTTTCACTCGGGGCTTCCCAAACACTCGAGGAATTCCACCTCGGTTTTTTAACTGATTAGAAATGCGTTCGGACAGATCGCCGGTGCTCTCGGCTCTCGCAGCACTCACCTTCGGCTCTCAGCGGCGTGTTTGTTCAGCTGCGGCGGAGCCTCGACCCATTGGGCTTTACGACTGCCGGCCTCGGCGCAATCCGCAAGTTTATTAAACAGAGAGAAGGGGAGCGTTTGAGATGTGACACTTGGATGCTTATCTTTGAGTAGAAGGGAGGAATCTCACAATGAGCACATTTATTATGTTGTGTGTTTTTTGGATGCATGCGTAGACGTGCTGGAACCTTCAACTTGCATTTCCTCTAATGACCAGCAGAGGGCGACTACTCCGGATGCAAAAAGAAGTTAGGCTGCTTAGAAATCTATGAGAACATAACTCTGCCTCTTACTTGGTTTATTACCTCAGAAAATAAGATCAAAGTAAGTTCATCGTGTCAGTCACGGGTTTCAAGTCTTTGTCAATACAGCATGAGGTTCGTTTTCTACATTATGGCTCCACTTAGCATAAAATAGACCCAAGGTAGCGGCACCCCAGCTAGCTTTGGATTGATAAGTTGCGGCGTACATTGTGTCCTCGAAATCCAGTGAGATCCACCTCACTGGTCACGTGCGATTTCAAAGGGCCAAACTCCAAACTTAATGCTTCAATTGGTCGACCACAAACCAATGGGTGACATCGGCATTTCCAAAATCATCAAACTATTCCTTTAAGGAAGTACCTAAATACTTAAAGCTAAAAATAATTCTGTGATTCTAACCCTGACATTTCAGCTTTTCAGCCACCCAAAACGAAACCGCACTCACTCATCCTCAATATCTTATTTAACTCAAGTTTAATGATTTGACAATCCAACCCTTAATCACAAATCCCATTACGCATCGGGGCTGCCATATAAAACTTAAACCTCGTTTAATAACCTGGGCTGCCTGCGTTATAATGGATACATTACTATTCATAGTATACTGTATATAAGGCTTTGTGGTTCTGCAATATTTGAAGGTTACTGTTCTCTCTTGTACGGCAGCAGAAGCCAAAGTGGACGGGAGGTGCCAAAAAGCACAGACCAGACGGGGTGGTCCGGAAACGGTCTGGAGATCCAGTGAAACTTAACAAGCATGTTCCCTTTGGATGTTAAAATGAAGTGTAACACAGATATTAATGTAGCAAGTATCACAACACAGCAGAGGAATGTAAACTGGAGCACTGGGACATCAGGCTGGAGGCTAACCAGCTGCAGCCGAATACCCCCGTAGTCATAATAGCCCCGAAACCCCACCCCCCCACCCCTCTTAATGGCCGGCGGGTCTCAAGCCTCGACTTTTCATCGCGGCTGGCCGGGAGCGAGATCGAAATGACTCCTTCTGGGGATGAAAGTGTCTAGTTACTCATCTGGGGAGGGAGCACGGCTGATTGTTGGGATAAATCACTGGTGGTGGCGGGAGGGTTCGAGGCCTGTGCACGACTCTTGTGCAGAAAGTTCCGTCCTTGCTGTTAGCGAATGAAGTGACAAACTGTTTGATGTGTGTGTGTGTGTGATTTTTCTCCAGAGGTGGCCATCCTTTGGGCTGCTCACCAGGTTCACCACAGCTCTGAGTACTACAACCTCTCCACTGCTCTCAGACAGTCCCTCACCCAGCAGCTCACCTCATGGGTAAGATATTATCATAGGATATATTCATGAATGAGAATGATTAGCGACTTCTTGGTGCCACAGAACTCTGTCGTGAGCCACACTGTCAGACTGGGTCACATGTTCCTTCATTTCCTTGATCACACACATCGTCGTTTATTTCCAATCAGTCCCGAGTATAACTTCCTGCCGCTGTAATTACTCACTAGAATATCAAACCTTGTGGCAATAAAGGTCTTCAGCGAATGTACATGTTTGCTATCAGCTACGTGGACGTCTGTTTTATTGTAGATTTAATAATTAAAGAGATAAAATACAAGGGTAGCTCTTGGCTTCACCTGGAAACACGGGGCATAACTATAACTATAAATTCTTATATCGCTGTCCACAGAAGCTCAAGTGTTTAAAGCAGTCAGAGTAAAAAGGATGGGGAAGCTTCGAGCTGTCGCTCCAGGACAATGGATCCGTCCACAGATGCATTGTCCTTAAATTTTACTGGCAGTAATACAACAACGACAACCAACAGCACAGTGCATGAGCATAGTTATCAGTCCATATCAACTCATAAGAGCCCAGAGATGTGGGGGTGACAGTAAGACAGAGCCTATGAACTTCTGTCTTGGCCAACACACATACAGAATATACAGAATGCAAAAAAAAAGGAAAACCATTTAAAGAAGACGAGGAGAACCGCCACCATGCCGATCCCTCTTTTCCCGAAGAAATAAAGTCCATTTCTTCCACCTTGCCATGTAAAGGTCCTTTTTAAGTCTAAGAAGGAAGTCTTTCCATCTCATGGATTTCCTTCATAACATTGAACCAATGATCTGCTGTAGGCAGGTCAGATTTCAACCAGTTTCTGGTGATTGCCTTCTTTGCTGCTAAAATCATAATTTTCAGGAGATATTTGTCACTTTCTGTCGATTCCTCTGGTGTATCTCCCAGATGGAGTGACATGAAGGTTGGTGGGATCCGGCATCTGAGAATATGTTGGACAGTTGTCCCAACGTTTCCCCAAAATGGTTTTATCAGTGGGCAGTTCCAGAAAATATGGTGACGATTTGCTTCATCATCCCCACAGTTACGCCACATTTTTGGTATGATAACGATAGATACACGTTCATCTTGGGAGTAATAAAAAAAAACCCAACAAGGTTCTTCTGAGAGTATTCCAATGCATAGAGCAAGAAGTGGTAAACACAGATTCACACATGTTCTTCCATTGTTGGTTGCTCATTGTCACCAAACTCTCTTTCCTGTGACCTGTTTTTAATGTTAACAATCAGTAGAAATGAATCTCGATTTTGTTTTAGCGTTTTAAGAGAACCAAATGTTAGTTTATTTCATTTGTGCATAATAAAGCCAACTCTTGCACTTTTTCTGTTAATCTGACGGCATCTGGACTTCCTGTCTAAAGGAGCACCCTGGTTGCTTTTTTATAAAAGTTGCATAGATTACTACTAGATCGTACCAAACGTTTCTGTATCAGTGTCAACATGGCACAAGTCTGACCTGCATGCAGTCACATGAACAGATTGGTATACACAAGATGTACTAATGTAGGATATTGTCCATGTGGTAATATACAAAAAATGTACAATATGAAATGAAAATAGGATAAATAAAGAGGTACCCAGTGTGCAAAATTAGACCGTGCAAAGATGGATTTTAAAAACGTGTCATAGTTATGGGGCCATGTGGTTTTATTGCACATTATAAAGTCATAAAGTCATAGAAAGTGTTTGTTTGAATTGTCCCTTTCCCTCAACAGGCCGCCCCTTTCGCTAGGCCACAATTGAAAATACAAACTGTGTTCTTAATCTGTTTTGCCTGCTTAAATAAAGGTCAATAAAAATAAATAAAAACTCTGTGCTGCCTAACTGTAGATATATGTGAAGCATCCACGCTTCAGAATTTTCCGCCTCTTTGCTGCGTTGTTAGTATTTGAAGCGCTGAGTACCGTCGTGGCTCCAACTCCATCAGAATCGTACTTATTAATGTGAACACATACCAGGAATGTGATTCTAGTTTCTGCATCTTTCAATGAACTCACCCTCTTCAGTCGTCACTACATGTGATGTATGTTCTGGACAGACATGGACGTAGCATCACTGGTTGATGTTGAGGTCTACAACTGTGAGGAGATAATTCTACAATAGTTATGAAAGTTTTTCACAAATTCAAGAATTCTACTGCTTCTATTTTACCTATTTCCTTTTCCAAATAATGTTTTTGTAAAATCGACAAATAGCATGGTAGGAAACAGCCTTACAAATTACCTTCATTACGATATTAGAAGATGAACATGTGCACACCTGCAGGAGTCTGATGCTGGTGATGGTGTTCATTTGGAATATCAGAGTTAAATTTATCAAACATCCTGTTAAACGCTTGGCTTGCATGTGAACTGCTCATTGTGTTGTTAAAGCTGGTAAATAACACAAGATCTGCTGGAGAGACTAAGACGTCTCCTGGGCTTGCTTACAATGAAATCATCACTGGGTAACTGAAACCAAATATCTGTTTGTTGCTCAGTCTCGGTGCCGGAGCTCTGTGAAGCTGTATTAAGAAGACTCTCTCCTCTCCCCTCCAGCTTTTCTACATGCCCTTGGCTCTGGTTCTGCCTCCGTCTGTCTTCGCCGTTCACATACAGCTGAACCTGCTCTACCAGTTCTGGATCCACACGGAGGTAAATATTTAAACGTACGCTGCGGATTCTTCAATCCGTCCGTCTGTAGCCGTGAAAAACACTGAGGCAGCTTCAAAAAGTCCCGCACGGTGTTTGAAGTTACCAGCAGACGTGTGGTTTGATGAGTGATTTGGTGTCAGCTTGTTGTACAGACGTGTAAACATGAGCAGTGACACATAATGTCCTGTAACAGTAGCTGCTGTTGTCCAGAGGAGCCACAGTGGTTCTGGATGAATAGCAGCTGCCTCTTACTGTAAATGTGCACAGAAATACATTATCTTTCAGTGAAATGATTATATATAATACAACTTACAAGAGATTAATGCTTTTTATTAATTTCTTGTCATTTTTAATTGGAATATGTTTAGTTATTTTGGACAAAGAAACTGAAAGGAGTATTTTACAGATAAAAGATGAACAAAAATAATCATTTTCTAGATGTGGCTCTCCTTAAGCCGCCTGTTTTATATTCTACATGTGGGAAGCATCAGTTGTTACGTGATCAAACATACGCAGCCCTGTTTGAGTGTACTGTTCGCTGTTGCTATGCAGAATTAATACGAAAAGAAAAGTTATCTTTCTCCCCGTGCCAGTACTAATCGCCGTGTTAAGCCAGGCTTTTGTGGATTCAGGGCTGCAGTGGAACCTGTGTTCAATAAAAAATAATGAGATTTTATGAAATATTCCAAACAGAAGCATGACCACTCCGCCTGCCTTTAAAGTGACTGCGAGTATCACTTTTACAATCCCCGCGATCGTTAGAGGGAATGAATGGATTTGGAACGCCTTCCATCTTTTAGTGCACTATTAGTGAAAACAGTCGTAATAGTCACAATTTTCTGAGGGGATGTAATTTATGCCTCCTTTATAGGCTCTTTTTTTTTTGATGTCATGTAATTTACTGGCGCACCATTCGCTCGCTGCAGCTTCAGAGCCGGACTGAAGTGGTGGAGACCCCCTTTCATTCAAGATAAAACTCTCACGCTCGGCTGCCAGACGCAGCCATTACGTGGAAATAATGAATCACCGAGAAACGCTGTCCAGCCGTGCCGCATTTCTCCAGATTGAGAGGTCTGTCATGCGGGTGTGAACCATCAGAATATCTGAGTTGCAAACTTAAAGGGGAAACATGAACTGTGTGAAATGTGCTGTGTGACCTCCGCAATCTGTGGCGACCGGCTGATGCATCTGTTTGATATCGTCCAACCGAAAAAAAAGAAATGATTAATGTGTACGAAATGTACTCACGAGGCGTCCAACTGCATGGTTGTTTAGACCGGACCACATGTGGATGGACTCGGTGTGTGTGTGTGTGTGTGTGTGTGTGTGTGTGTGTGTGTGTGTGTTAATGGGCTTAACTATTATCAGTCGTGTTAACATCCCTGCTTTTGGCACTTTTTCTCTTTCCCAGTGCTGTAGTTGTTGTTACAGCACCATTAAAGACGCATAGAAATGAAGCGATTTTAGCTTTTTAATGAGGAAATCGGTTATGAAGGCTGAAGCGTGACATCGACAGCTCAACTAACAACATATTGTGTCCTTCCAAAGGTTGTTAGAAGAAGTCTTTTGCTTTATGTCTTTAGTTTTGGTTCCAAAGATGATCCAAATGGAGGGCTGCTTTTTTTTTTCTGAAGCTAGATTTCATAGTTTCCAGTGGATGTGGATGATCCCTGATGGTTTTTCCTCCAGTGCCAGCAACAGGGCAGAATCATAGCCCGTACATAAACACGTATGAACCCTCTGAAACATCACCCACAGGTTTCCTGCAGAACTCAGTGTGGTAACTTTGGCCAATTTTCCATCTTGATGCCATTTTTCAACACTTTTTTTTAAGTTGCCGCTTTGTCCTCTGCTAACGAAGAAAAGCATCTTGAGAATGACGCCCAGGATTCCAGGGAACTCGTTGTTTGTGAGTCCTGACAACGACATCCAGAGCTCCGAGGAATTTACTGTTTGTCATCCTTTATGGTCGTCTTTTTGGTGACCACATATATGTTCGTTTACCGTCAGTTCAGAGTTTCCACTTTTAAACATCTATTAGTCAGATCACCATCATGCTGTTTTGGACGCTCCATGAGCTCTGATGAGTCAATGTGTTGCACAAGTTTCCCTTGAAATGTGTCGAGCACATTCATTCTCCAAACAAACCTTTTTGATTCTGTCTTTTCTCTAATGGGGATGTTAAGACAAACGAGCTGCTGGGATATTGGTTTTTCTTAAAGGCAGAGAATAGAGATGTTTTAGAACTACGCTGTACATTGAACCCAGTTTATTAGCAGATAACAAAAATACAGTCGTGACTCGATAATCCGACCCTTAACAATCCTAAACCTGCTATCCGACAAGTTTTTAGGAAAAACCAACAGAACCCATAAAAACAGCCTTAACATAGCGACAGCCTTGGATTGTGACTCCAGCATGACATTTAATGTCACCAATCAGGATGACGGCGTATTATCTGACTGAACAATCCCACAGATTGGCTACGTTCACACTGCAGGACTTGATGCTCAATGAGGATTTCTTTGTGACTTCCTTCACGTTTCCAGTTCAATGCGACTTTTATGTGATCTGCTGTGTGAACTTCATACGACCCAAAAGTGTCCCGCATGCGCAGAAGAGGACACGACGACGTCACACGCAGCGAGCGTGCTCAGTGTTTATGGAAGTAAACATGGATGGTAACGGTGGAGCGTATCTGCCACTCCCCCACCGCCACCGATGGTGGAAACAGAAGTGTGAGCGCTAACTAAACTAGCATCAGCAGTCAAGTACTGCCTGTGTGTTCTGGACACTTCCACCCCGTCAGAGCGCACCGGTCAGTTAGGCGTTAAGTCCAGCGATGCGTAGTGTTCTAACAATACACTAGTTATTACAACAACTATGAACAATAATTAACAACAAACGAGCCTTCCAGCATCAAGCCCTCCTTGTATCTGGACCTCCGTCTTGACAATCCGACATAAAAGAAGATTTTACATTTAGTGTCGGATTATCGAGTCACATATGGTAACACAACATAACAGAAAACAACATGATCATAGATTGTACGAATAGTTTTTTTTTAGTATTATATATGAGAACGCAACAGATTATGACTTTAAAATGTGTCCACTTGTCAAGTATCTCATGTTTTTTGTCTTGTTTTCTTCCAGTTGATCAGAGACCTTGGACCTCTGGAGTGGATCTTTAACACCCCAAAACACCACAGAGTCCATCACGGTGAGACGGGTTTAGCTTTATACATGAAAATCACAACCTAACCTGTTGAATTTATCAAACAAGAGAGAAGAAAAGGTTGGCGATTACTGGTGTTAAATGTAGTTTTCTCTATTTGGAGTTAATTCTTATCAGACTGATACACCAGCTGTTTGTTCTACTCAGGTAAAGCTGGCAGTACGGATATAACGGGGGGGAAAGAAAGAGGAATCTGAAATCAGAGATGTTTTTTTTATTATCTGAATGAAATTTGCAGTAACCTCACAGTGTAACCTCAACAGGGAGAAACCTGTACTGCATTGACAAGAACTACGGTGGAATCCTGATCATTTGGGACAGATTGTTCGGTAAGCAGAAATCATTTGTGTTTGCTTCTGTTCCTGTTTTTTTATGCGTCCATGTAGTTGTAGGACCACGAGTCAAGTCACCACGGCTGTCTTGCACGTCTTTGTTTTTCATATTACAATCACAGATGTTATTGTCAGAGCGGAGACTAAAGATCAGTGATTCAAGATGAGTCATTTTCAGGACGAAAGTGAAAGTGAAGGAGTTTTATGACACCAAAACTCATGTATTTTAAGCTCTACAGTGTAAAATATGTTGTTGAATTACCTTTACATTTACTTTTTAAGCATTCAATGTACGTGTCTGAAACGGACAGTAGCGTCATGTGTCGTGTCAAACAACTTGTACGTTTTCAAATATAACCTCCGTACACTATCAAAGCATCCAAGCAGTTTTTTGTGACTTCATGCCATCATCTACCAACATCAGAGTCAATGTGCACCTTGAGGGAGTTTCTTCGACTTTGCCATCAGCTCTAGAGTCCAGATGACCTCTGACCGCTGACTGCCATTCTTCTTTCATTACACTGACCTCACAAAACACATTTCTGGCCATAACTCAAGAATTCAGTGTCTAAACTTGGCAAATATGGCCAGGCGTGGATGTAGCCCAGCGAGCAGGGAATGTTTCCACAACGTTGGCCAGTTTTTTAGAATGTTTTGAAGTTGTTATCTAATCTTCAGAGAGAGTTTTTAAGGATATTTATCATTTCCAATAACGCTCCTGTAATGTTTCAGTAAACCAAGACGTAAACATGAACATTCAGAGGATGTTTGGAGGATGTTTTCAGGGCCACAGATTGTGTTACATGACAACAAAGTAGGAACGTTAAATAAATGTTTTCCAGGGATTAGCAAGCCCTCAAATCATTTCTTGTAGAACTTCCCCTTACTGTGATATATTAACAAAGCTGGAACATTATGTCTGCAATGTTCTGAGGATGTTCTGGGGATGTTGTAAAGGGAACGCATTATAGAATCTATGAAACGTTCTTACAACGTTCTTGCATTGTAGCAAAGGAACAACGTTCATATATTATAGCAAAGAAAGGGCGTTCTTGAGGCAGCATTTGACTTTTAAAAACCTTAGGACATAACTATCCAACGATGTTATTACCAAACGGTAACGGTTAGTTACCCTACTTTTAAGAAGAACATTCTGAAAACATCTGGAGAACGCTAGAACATAGTTATGGTATCGCCCAGTTTCACAATGACAAAAACACAATAAAGGGAAAATGCTACTCAATAAGCTGTAGGTGCCTGTAATCTGTATACTGGACTCAGGTTTGCATCAAATGTATAATATATAAAAAATATAATAAAAAAATATATAAAAATAATATATAATATAAATACATAATATCAATCGCACCGTCAGTTAGGTGTGAAATCCAGCGATGCGTAGAAGGAGAAGGTTTCCATTTAGTGCCGGATTATCGAGTCATGACTGTAATTTAGAAAAACTGAAGGAGCACATCTCTGTCTGTACATCTGCAGACTGTTGGTTGGACACAGAAGCTGCGATCCCAACATGTTGACAGTTTTATCTTTGGATTATCTGACCTACTAAATTTGGCGAATGTACGTTTCAAATAAGTGAGATTAGTGGTTCTCCAAAACATCTTTACTTCTACATTCTGCCTCATGTGGCTCTTTTAAATGATCTTGTTCAATAATGATGAAGGTTTCGTCCTGGTTACAAACCCAAAGAGAACTCTGATATGTTGCTGTTCATTGTTCAACTTGTACAAAAATCAGAGACCAGCTGGTGAACGTGGTGGAACATTTATCAGCTAACAATGTTTTTCTAAAGCGCTGGTGGAGACCAAAACAGAAACAAAAGGCAGGAATACTGGACTAAAAACACAAACTCTAAATGAATGTTAGCTCCTCTCCAAGTTTACAAAATGAGGAGGACGTCAGTGTTGTGAATTTTATTGTGCTGACTTTGCTCTACTGCCCAACGTCTCAAAAATAGGTTAAAGAATCAGTAAAAGAAGTCTAAGGCTTGTTATTTTGTTTGTGTCCTCCTCAGGTACCTTCGCCTCCGAGACAGACAAAGTGATCTACGGCCTGGTCTTCCCCATCAGGACGTTTGAGATCCTCTACGTTCAGGTCAGTGTCATCTCCCACCGCTGATGCGGGCCATCGGTCAATCAGCTCACCTCCATCCGAGCGTAAACACCTCCAGCAGATGAGGTGTGAGCTCATGTTTCCCTCGCTGGCTGACTGGCCGGTTTGTAACCATAACATTATTACTCTACTCCAAACAAACTGCCCAGCTGAGGTGAAAGAGGCCAATAAAACCCAATGCCAGGTGGATGTTATGATTATTTGTGCTGCCCTCACCGCTGGCAGAGCGCAGCGTGAGCGATGTCCTGCCCAATGAAAGCAGAAACATTCCTACTCAGGATTAATTATCGGCGCTATTGCCTCGTTAGCGTTCGTCAGTTTAATGCGGTGTTTGACTGTACATTGATGTCTGACTTCTGTGTTTTTTCTCTCTCTCTTTTAGTTGCACTACTATTTATATTTGTGGAAGAAGTCCAAAACTTACAAAACAATCATCCACAAATTGGCAACTTTCTCGAACGGCCCGAGCTGGAGACCCGGTAAACCCCGGCTGGGCGACCACGTCAACAATCCCAAGGTTTGCATCATTCCTCACAGAAAAAAAAAATGCCCTCAGGCTTCATTACCCATCATTTTGACACACGCAAAACGCAGGCCCCAAATGACTCAGAGCATTCCTTATTGAGAGATTCATATGTTCTTAAAGTTTTACAAGGAGCTGCCACATCAAATAAAGCTGCGAAGCCTTTGTAGAGGCAACACAATAAGTTCAGTTTCACTGTCTTTAAACACAGTCTGCAGAAATAAAACCGCATGCAGTGGAGTGTAAAAGTGCATGTGTGTGTGTGTATGTGTGTGTGTGTGTGTGTGTGCAGAAAGAAATACAGGCTCCAGCTGAATGCCCCGGTGGTTAGCTTTGAAATAACGCTGATGGTGTCACATATTTAGGTCCCTCATGCTTCACACTTAAAAAAAAAAAAAAAAAGAAAAAGTCCCCTTTGCCTTTACTATTAAATTGGCCCCTTTAAACGCAGCGGGGCTGGAAGAGTTGGAGTTTAACCGAAATATCTTTAAAGGCTTGGTGTAGGCGGCTTCTTGTTGATATCTGCCGGTGAGGGAAGGAAAGGAAAGAGTGAAGGAGGAGAGAGAGCGTTTCAGCTCTTTGAGAAAAACCAGAGCAGCAGCCTGGAATACCTACAGGGTCGGGGATGGGATGCAGGGGGACCCACATGTGGTGTTTTGGTTCTCCAGGATCCTGGGAAAACCCCCTGAATTAGAGGGAGACATCTGTGATTGGCCAGTTGGTTTGTTTTTTTGCGTTTCATTCCCGAGAGACGTCGCAGTTTCAATATAAAGCCCTCAGGCCTAATCACTTATCATTATGGACGCGTTGGAAGACAAAAGCAGGTCAAATGACTCAGGGAATTCTCACAGAAGGACTCATATATTCCTCAGTATTTGCAGGAAACCGTTCCGCCCAGTAAATCCTGGATGACTCTGTAAATGGAACACAACAAGCTAATTTTCACGAGTTTTGAAATCCAGCCTGTAGGAGACTTTAACAAAAGGGCGTTCTTGAAAGAAAAAAAACAAACTTAAGAGGCTCTGAGAAGTGTGAAAGGTCACAAGACACATTTGAACCTGTTTTCTGCCCTCACGAGGTTTTCCCCCGTGACATTTTTTTTTATTAGCTTTATTATAAAGTTTTCCTTTCCTTGATCTCATTTTCTTTTCTGTTTGCCGTTTCCTTAATCCACCCCTCCCTCGGTGCGGCTTATTGTCCTTTCAAGGTCTGTTAAAGTTGTATTCCTGAACATTTCCAGCATTTTACGAACCTGTTTCTGTGTATGTGTGGCAATTTTTTTCCTCTTCAACAATAGTCACTGGGTGTATGTGATTTCTGTAATTGCTTCTCTGCGCAGTCGTTTTTTATTGCTACTGGCAGAGCGCGCATTTATTTTGCATGATTTAAACGGCGTACCCGCGCTCAGGGGATTCGCTGGAAATGATGCGTTCGCATACCGAACATGATGCAAAACAAAAGCCAGTTGCGGACGTTTGGAAGGAGGATGTGTGGTGGTCGTTGCTTCTTTAGCGTTCTCCGTTAACGTGATGCGACAGGATGAACGTTTGGTTTGGCCGCCGTGCAAACAGACACACCTGTTCTTCTGTTGCCTCTAAAGGGATGCTTCTCTGAACTGAACTCCAGGGTTGTGGTCGGACTGTCAGAAATCATGTCGTATATCTTTTCTTTGACGCTCTCCGTTGACTCGGGTGGAGGGGAGAGATGTGAAGGAGAATTCATAAGGACATAGAAAAAGACAACTAAGGGACTCCAGCTGCACTCGTTTAGCCGTGTGATTATGTAGCAGCGCCGTACGTTCTCACTGTGTTGCTTCATGGAGGCTTTATTAAGGTGGACAACCCAGTGAAAAAATATTACTTCATTACCAAGACTGTAAAAAATAAAAGTATTACAGGCTACCAGTCACAAAAATTCTACCAGATATTTGTCACGTTGAGGATAATTGCTCAACCTCGTGTTTATTCATTCTCCTCGACATGAACTCCAATTAGCATGATTGTATGAAAATAAGGGTTAAATTAATGCAAGTTGAGCTAGGATAGCATGTGAGGCCTCGGGTTGAGTTAGAAACACCGTCCACCCCTCACATCCCTTTTGTTATTCTGATTATAATCCTATAACAGCTGAAGACCCACCACCGATTTTACAGGCTGTGAATATGTAATATGACAAAATACGCTGATCCCACCAACATATTACTGTCAGGTAAGATAAAGGTCCAGCGCTGCAGTGAATGGCCAGATGGTGCATTGCTTTCTGTGTTGCTGTCAGAGGGAATTATGGGACGACATTATTTCCTTACTTTTCGTAAAGGATGGACCGCTCTAACCTTTTCCGTCACGTTTACAGAAGTTGGCCGGCTCCATTCAGGGCTGCTACCGAGACACTTCTGTGCAATTTCACTCGGTTAGGAAGCAAAAACGACTATTCGACCGCAACCTGTGTTATAAGGAACTACATGCCAGCGACGACGCCGGGATCCCCGACCCTCCTCCACAGACAGCGACTCATTGAGTTGCATTAACACACAGATTCTTTGACAGAATTAGCATTTTTATAGCTCAAGCTCAAGATCTAATACCTTTTATTACTTCAAACTCCTGGGCTTTGCTTTCTTTTTACATTTTATAATATGTTTACTTGACAATGAAGCTGATTCTACTTTTAATTCATTACAGTTGGTATCCACAACTGATTATTCGTTAAATTTTGAGTGTGTTTACTGGCACCAAACTAGTTACCAAGTGAGCAGAGAAGCTAAAGTACACAGTTTAAAAAATAAATTGTTATAAAGCAGTGTTAGCATGAATGCAAGCTACTCTGGAAGAAAGAACAAAAGCCATTGGTGCTGTGTCTTGTATGAAAAATAACTGTAAAACTATCTCCTACAAGTTAGTGATAAACAACGTCCAGTCTGATGATAATAATAATTTCAGATTAGCATTTGGGACCTGACAGGCGGTGTGGATGGGGAGCACGTCGGCTCACCGCTTCGTGGCTTTAATGGTGTTTGAAGCCAGAAATAACACCCAGAATACAATATTCTTCTCGTGTATTTACATTATTTATTAACAGGGAGTCAGAGTTCGAGCTTTTCACTGCCCCGAAAGGTCCGACGTAAAATTTCTGAACCCGTAACTGTTAACATGTAGTTAAACTTGAATGAAGTGCTGTTATACAAGTACGGACATGTTGGCCGCTGTCGAGAATCTGTCCAGAAAATTGCTCTACTTACACAAAAAATTAGGGTTTGGGGAATTAAACGTGTTTATTTTCCATGTGCAGGTTACCGGAAAGGAAGTGCCTCACGATCCCAGTTGGTCGATGCCTTTGCAAGTTTATGTGGTCGTACATTTCCTGCTGGTGCTGGGGACTTACCACGAACTGATTGAGAACAAGACGGTATGTATTTGACACGTCGGGAAACCTGCAGATGAGGATTTTCTTGGTCTGAAGCACCTCGACAGTACTTCTGATAAGAGCTTTTTGCGTTCACTTTTTGGTGAGCTGGTGACCTTTTCATCCCTGACTGCTGATATGTTTAGGCTACTGTAATCCCTCATATAAAGTATGACAAGGTGGTCCAGAGCTCTTAATTTAAGGTTGCCTGAGTTCTTGCGTGTTTGTTTGCCAACATTATTTCACTTAATTATGCATTTTGTTGTGGCTGATCCACGGTGGAGCAGAGTCCTCTACTTAGCCAGCAGGAAAAGACCAGCTCTGTCTAACATCATGACAGAATGACGGATCGGCATTCCCCTTTAGAACAACCTTTGTCTATTATTTTCCACTCGACAAGCCAAAAGACCCCCTTCCTCCTTCTTCAGAAAAAAACAGAAACAGGTCTCCTCAGCAGTTATCTTTGGAAGGCTTTTTTCCCTAGGCATAGTTTTGGTTAGCCAAAAACTGCTGTCACGCCCAGCCTCTTCAAACTCCCAAATAAAATGGCCTGTCTTTCTTTTTTTTTTTTTTCTGATCACTACCTCAGTTGTGGTCCCCCCTCACACACACACACACACACACACACACACACTACAACACACACACCTCCTCCAAGGGTTCCCCTCCTTCCTGGCGAATGAAACACCAGCTGGTGGTCCAGCAGTGAACACAAACGCCTTAATTGTCGAGTCAACCATTTCCCAACCCAAATAGCCTTCAGGATGCAGCAATCAGGACTTGGAGGGAAAATAACAAAGTGAGCACTCTGGCCCAACAATAAATCATGTCACTGTTATGTATTTATACCCACATGTTCGCTAGCTGCTTATTTAGCTTGACAATTGATGATACACTGCCGGACAATTTATGGGCTTTGCGTTAATTCGAAGCCATGAAAACATGGCTATTTCAAACAAGTGAAGCTACTCTTCAATTACATCATCAGGCCAACGTGTATGTTTTATTATAGGTTTGCTAAACAGTTCCTATTAGAGGCAGGGAGGGAAATTGACCGTGACAAGACTTTTTATTTCAACGCGAGTCTCCCGTTGGTGTTTTGGTGTTTGCAGCGTTCAGACGTCGGCCGTCCGTGGTGTGGGTTAAGTTTGAAGCACCGCAGAGTGACATCTGAAGCAGTGATGATGGAATAAACACACTAAACGTAATAAAGAAGTGCAGTTCTAGATATGCAAAGGCACAGAACAACCAGAGTTTTCTTTAAGTTTTCGTTTAACCGTGATTGAACATTTGCTTTCTACTGCAGATCTTTTACTAAGAAGAAGAAAAACATGAACTACAAATACATAAACTTGCCCACTCATGCGCTGTGGTTCACCTCACATGAGCCCAGTCTTGTTATTTAATAGCCTGACTTCATTTCTACATGCACACAGTAATAATATGTACGTGCACTCTATTGCTAATTTATCAAAAATTAATCCCGTCTAATGCAACAGTCCTGCAATAAATCCTTTTTGGCAGATGTGCCGCTGTTATACTAACAGGTGTCTATTACTTTGTCCACCCCGTGTATAAGCGTCAGTGGAGGATAAATAATGCAAAGCAGGCTAACAGCATCACAAAGTCACTTGTAGCTACTTGCTCCTGGTTAAGCGGCACCTCAGGACGCGTTATCTGTGTAATTTAGTGAAAACACATTTCATAACCGAGGCGCTGTTGCATTTTTTTCCTCCAAACCAGCCTTCGCGTGCTTCGTCATAATAACGGCTGAAATAATGACCTGAATAATGAGTTAATCCGCGTCGTCTCAGGGGACAGCAGAATAACACAATCAGTCCTCCGCTCGCTGCCACCAGATGTTCGCTCTCATTCCTGTCCTGCTATTGCTGCAGGTTGACACTTGATCACATTAAAAATTAACCAAAACCTCTTTTATTTCTGTGAAAGATCGTAGAAATGAAATGTGACTCCGCCACTAAACAACGGAGGGATTTGGGATGATTTTGTCTCGGCTGCATCCCCCCAGGATGAAAGATAGTCACACAAACTAAAAAAAAAAACAAAAGATCATGAGACCGAACGCGTCTGGTCTGCTGAGCCCCATGGGTTATTAAACCGACTTAAGTTCACATAACCTTTGATACCGAAATAATTCTCTCCTCATTACACCTCATACGAAGAATAACTGCATCTGTAGCCTCTGAACTCCGGCGCGGTGATCATTCAGCTTTAATACACTCTGACAGTCTGGGGTGACTTTTGTTCCTGCAGTGTGATAGATGGATCAAGCCCAAACATTCCCCCCGTTTGATTCATGGAAAACCTAATTGTCTCATCCCTCTCCCATACGTAGGCTCAGATAATATAGTTCTTAAGGGGGCTTATTATTACGACTCTTGGATAAACATAAATAAATAGTCTTTTATTGCATCCTGTTGATGGCTTGATTTTATGTTGCCTATATATGGCCTTCTGGGTATGTACAGTATGGGAGCCGTCAGTGAGACTTGGCTGTTAGAGTCTGTATTGAGTGTCAGAGAAATATAAACCTAAGCTGACAGCCCACAGCATCCTCAGGAGACACCGGGCTTCCAGCTGCTGCCCTCAGCCAAGGCTGTAGGTTGGAGAACACGAATTAGGCCGTACATCACGTTCCGTACTCCGTGCGTTTGCGCGAGCCTGTTTGTGTGTACGTCCCAAATAGCTCGGAAAAGGTCAGCGAGAATCTGCATGGGATTCCAGCTCCGATGTTGGTTGTTTTGGCTCCGTTTAGGGGATCCAAACTGCCGTCTCTTCAGCTGTGGTCAAGTCCCCTGTCAAGATCCATCTGGGATGATTGCAGCGTCTATGTAAACTAGGCATGTCAGTGTAAAGTAAGAGGCAGAGCGCGTTCGCTGCAGCATACTGTGTGCGCCAGTACACTTACTCTGAAGGTCAGACATGTTTTGGTTGGCAGTGCCAAGTAAACAGTCGAACAGCCGTGCGGTTTACGACTGCTCTCCCAGTAAGGTCTCCTGTGATCGTAACTTGACCAGCCATGATATTGATTTAGGGGTTTGAGCCTAATGTATTTTTTCCTACCGCATTTCTCATGGCATGCAACTGTATCTTGATCCTAGATGCTGTCCCAGTTAACCTTACTGGGCATGACCTGCTACGTTCTGCTCACTCTCACCTCCCTGGGCTTCATCATCGACCAGAGGTACGCTACTGACATTACTTGATGGATTCATGTTCGTGGAAGCATTCAGGACATTTGCATATTTGACCATGCAGTGATAAAATCTGGAGGGAGAGGAAAGTACGGGCCGGTCTGGCTTTGGCAGCGCTTCTTGAATGTCGGGCTGAAACCCTGAAAAAGCATCACAAAGTACAACTGGAGCTAAATGCAATCAGTTAGTTGTTAGGGTCAGTGGTTCCTGAAGTGAGGGGGAACGTTTCCTCAGGTTTCTTTGATTGTTAAATTACTATAAAAACATATGGTGGGTTCTTTTGTGTTGCCATTATGACCGAATTAAGACCCATTATGAGTGTCGCTGCACGTGAAGCCGATACGTCTACGGCGGCATTATTTTAGGGGTTGAGGGCTGCAATGAGAAGAACTGAACCAAACAACAAAACAGCTTGGATTTGATTCTCTAAATCAAGAAATTAGAAATGTCTGACTTCTTCAGACCTCTGAAGCCGATCAAATCAACTGAGAAGGGAACTTTCCTTAAATGGGTCACAAGCAAAAAAAACAAAGCCAGGGAGCTCCTGGTGTTTGCCAGCCCAGAGTCAGAGGTCTGAAGCCCAGTTGGTGCAGCCTGGGATCCTCTGACAGTCTTATGCTGTGGACAGTAGTAATTTTGTATATAATCAGTTTGCCAGACAAACCGCTCCAATCAGTCAGTCAGGGTGTAATATGCAAGCGTTTTATTCTTCAGTTCAATCACTGCAAACCAACCAGCCAAGACTCATCTCACGTCTCCATGCCGGCCAGGTCGCTGTTGTTGCGGCCCTTGATGTCATTCGGTTGCCTCCTCGGTGAGTCTCTCCTCCCCTGGACAGACTCCAGTTCAGTCATTTTGAACTGCAGCTGGCGGTTTTAGTCCCTGTTCTGCTAAAGTCCGATAGCCAACTACAGTCGCCAGCTGCAGTCCGAGGCGATAGAGTTACAGTCCGTCCGCGGGATGAGAGGCTCGATAGGGAAGCAGCTGAAATCAAGGACTGGGACACCAGCGACCGGACCAGTCTGCAGGTACGGAGGACCGGCCGGGCGGAGATGCAAATCACAGCTTTAGACTTTTATAATAAACTCAAGGAAACAGAATATAAAGGTTTGTGAATTAGCCCTTTAGCCTACCAGTGACTGGCTTTGTATGCACCACTCGTTATTTGAAGTTCAACTCAGTCTAGGGTGAATTGTGATTCAGATCATAGATTGTGATTCCACCCCAACAGAGAGCCCAGCTCTACTCGCGGTATAAATTTTCCAGAGGGAAAGTGGGTAGTAAAGTGTTTTCTTTGCATAACATTAACCAAACCGCTGGATGAGTTTGTGGGGTTTTGTAACTCGTCCCTCTCAGTGTCATGTTGCTGGATCACGTGTCTTTGTGTTCAGGCCGAGGGCGGCTGTCCTGGAGATGCTTCGCTGCGTCGTCATGGTGACACTGCACAGATACAGCTGCATAAAGCCCTTCCTGCCGTTGCTGGCTGTGCCCACAGAGGTAAGACCGACTGTAGCGCGTTGAGATGTTGTCAGAACTCTGTTTGGTTGAAGATGCTGTGTTAATGTCGCCTCAAGCAGACATGAGGAGCAACGTGTAGAGTTCTAGTTAATTCACTGTCTTGTGTTTTCAAACTTTTAATCTTCTGACAGCCGTTGTTGACTCAGATGAGGCGTTTTGATTTTGTAAAATAAATGGAGCTCCCCTTTAGATGTTGTTTAGCTGCTTTAGCTAACGTTAGCTTCACAGAAAACCTATTCATGATTTCCACCTGCAGGCTTCAGGTCCAAACAGCGGACCTTTATGTACTTAATAAAGAGATGCTAGAAAACATAAAGGTCTCTTGACAGCAGCAGACCGATTGCTTTCTTTGTCGTGTTTGGCTGGACGACATGAAAACATCTATACGAGAAAACACACGTCTCAGCTGTTCGGCTGCCTGCAGACGTCTGTAACATCCCGTAAGTCCTGATCAGAGCGTTTGAGGTGAAACATGTTCTTCCTCCGTGTGTTTACCATCATGCCATTTACCTTTAACAATGATTTGACGCAATCATCTTGCTTATTTACACAGACATCGCCTCTTTGTCAAGCAAATCATCTCTGACTGAGTGTAAATACTACTGACACTGGCCTGCAGGAACCACGGTTAATTTATAGCCCGGCCAGCTCATGGAATTAACAATAATTAGCTACACCGAAGTTGTTTTTTCAGCTGCGGATGTCGGCGGTCGCCAGTTAAAACAAAAGGTTTCCGACGGATTAATAGAGCGCGCATACGAGCAAAACTGCGACGGCTTCGAGTGGCACTGCAGCGGGATGATAATAACACTGGCCGTAGCGCTGCGGTCGGAGCAGTAATGTTCGCTGACAGGATTTAGGATTTGGCTAAAAAAACGTCTGACCTCAAGTTCCTTTTAGTATCTGTGCAAGCGTTTGATCACACGACACGAGCCTCATCAGATGTCGTGAAATTGTAGCTTCGGTTTTCCGTTTTTGGCACATTTTGCTTGTTTTGGCCGAACGGTTGAGGTTCAGAGCTCATGGAAACGGACAAAACTAACCCCGGGGTCCATTTAGTAGCTGTTCTGGAGCTTTCAATCGCATCACGTGACCTCGACTTAGCAACGTTTAACACCCTGGTGCTTCTTTTTGATACGATGCCAATATGATGACCTTCACCGAGTCGGCTGCTTCTAAACAGAATTGAACTGACCTTTGAATGTCCGCTCAAAACATTTTCCACAATGGTTTCGTATCATTTTTCACTGTAATTACATTTAGTGGAAATCCTTTATTCATTTGGGTTAATACAGACTTTGGCTTGCTCCCTGCTCCCCTCTATTAAAGTATAATTGAGCATGAACCGGAGAACCAGCTTGTGTCCAAAGTACATTATGTGCTACATCGAGTCTGTCTAAACACCAAGAGCACAAAGTCAACCAAACAGCACCTAATTAGCCTGCTGTCAGAACCCAGAACCAACACCGGACATGCAGTGTATTAAAGCATGCATGTCTATCCGGGGCTAATTGCTAATTGGCTTTTGTCTCGTGGTGATATTCCCCTTTTTAGCCACACTCGTATTCAGAGTCAAATCTTGAGGGTATTGTGTCCGGAGTTAATTGAATCTGAAAAGTCTGGCAGCGTTTTCAAACCGTGCTTCCAGATCCGTGTAGCTGTGGAAAGTACTGGAAAGAAAGTATGATGAATAATTTTTCATGTCAACAGTGATGTGTTTTAATAGGATGACTGAGCGTTGCCAGCAGAACGCAGAGAGAAATCCTCACATCATGAAATCAGTGTCGGGGGAAAAATGCGGAATTAAAAGTGTGCATGAGAAAATCTTCGCATGTTTCCTCGACGGTGTCGTGTTTCCCTGATGTGTGCAGCCCGCTTTGCCTGTGATTGTGTGTGTTGTGTGGTCTGTGTTGTGTGTGTGAACTGTGAAATGTGTGTGAGCTGGGTGCTAAGTCCAGCCCTGCAGCCCTGTGATCTATGAGTCCAGATGCGTCGCCCAATTGACCATAAAATTGGCGTGCCTCTCTGGCTCTGGCAGCCCGACTGGAGATGGCGGCTGACCTCTCATTACTCGCCCTCCCTCGCTTCCCCCTCTTTTTTTCTTCTTTCGGTTTCTCCCTCCTTTCTGCTCGCGCTCGCTGCTTGCCATCTCGGCTGGTGTGAATGAGAGCAACACTTCTGGAACCAATTAGTGTCGTCTGCTGCTAACTAGCGCCGGCTGATGAGATTTGCAATCGCTGCTTTTATGTCGTCCGACTCCACATCTGCGCCGCTCAGGTGTTCGAATGACAACTCGAGGCTTTCCCACCTTCCTTTTCTTTTTCTCACCATAAAACGAAATAAAACTGAATGAATTATAATTTTTTAAAGCCGCGTCTAAAACGAACCCGATCAGCTTGAGACCGACAAAAAAAGGCAAAAAAAAAAAGGCGTTGATTTATGCTGCACATGCTGCACGGCTGTGTCACTTTGACAGCGCTGTAAGTTTTATGCAGCCGTTTCCTTAAGCAAATCATTAGGCCTCATTTCAAGTCGCAGTACATCAGGCTGAGCTGAATAAATGTCTCACTCGCAGGTGGGGCTCATTGAAAATCCTCACAATTTACTTGAAATGGTTCCTGACATATTTGTGCCCTTTGTTCAGAACTACAGCAAAAAGGGAGAAATGGCTGAAACCACCCCCAAACCTTTTTTTTTTAAAGGTACTTTAATGATATATGGGCCCGACGCGTGAGGGGAACGGCCGGCTCTTTGTTGCAGGGAGGGGAGGGGGTTTTGAAGTCGAGCCAATCAATTAACAGTCACTCGAAATGGAGAAGGGGAAATTCACATTTAATTGTATTCAGGCTCACTGTACTTTTGGGAGAAGGAGGGAGGTGGGAGGGGGTGACTACAAAAAAAAAAAAACTACAAAAACTAGGTCGGTTTGTGGTCCTTCAAAACCAGTTGTGTGATATACTGCACCCTTAAAGCTCACAGTGGTATTTATAGTGGCTCTGGAGATTTCCCTTGTAAAGCTGCAGGCTTGACCTGTAAACCAGGACTGCCTCTTGCTCCCAGCCGCCCACTCGCCCGCCCAAAAACCCACGTCTGCTCGGCTCACATGAAGGCCTCGCCGCTGCAGACCAGACGAGGCTGGTGACCGTGTGTGTGTGAATGAGGGAGGCCGCTGGAGCAGGGGGCGGGTTGTACGAGGTTATAGCAGCTTAACGTGTGTGTGTGTGCTATTAGTTAGGCTTTATGCATATATTTTATATAGAATGCCACAAATTCATATTGGCCATTAACTGCTAAAAAGGAGCTTTCTTTTCTGACAGTGGTTAAGGCTGTTTTTAAGTATGATTTAAGTCGATCTGTTTCATACCAGCATCACCTTGGCCACTTTAGATTTACATACATAATCCCTGATTACTAAACAGCTGCACGAGAAAATCTGATTAACCTACGAAGATGTTCATTTTACACTTTTATGTTAATCATGCAACTCGTTTATGTTGTGTATTTAAGCAACGTGGCTCACTGTGTCGGTCACATGTTTTTATTCTGCTCCAGATTTTTGCCGTTATTTCTCTTTGATTTTTTTTTATAGCTGTAATGCGACGTTTAATTTGCTCTTTTATTAATGTCCTGCTCGCTCAAGTTTAGTTCTTGTTGTTCCAGCGACACTGATGTGAACCCCAGAGAGTGAAGCTGTGTTTGAGCATCTTGTGTTGGTTTTGTAGAAGAACAAAACTCTTTTAGATTCTGTTAGTGTCCATATAGAATGACGGTGGTATGTTTAACTTCACGTATTCAGGTCATTAATGTGATCAGTTGTTGAGTTAACACAGTGCTTGGTTGTCTATTTGGCAGTTTTGTTGCTGCATTTAGCAAGTTTTTAAAACATCAAAATCAACAGCAAATGCATCATCACATAGTGCAGCTACAGCCAGACACCTACGCCTCACAGCTAGAAGGTCACCGGTTGGCGTCCCGGTGAGGACACCCGGGATCTTTCTGCGTGGAGTCTCCATGTTCTCCCCGTGCAGCGTGGGTTCTCTCCGGGTTCTCCGGCTTCCTCCCACAGTCCACAAACATGCTGAGGTTAATTGGTGATTGTAAATTGTCCGTAGGTGTGAATGTGAGTGTGCTTGGTTGTCTGTCTCTAAGTGTAGCCCTGTGATAGACTGGTTACCTGTCCAGGTGAACCTGCCTTCACCCTCAGTCAGCTGGGATAGACTCCAGCCCCCCATGACCCTAGTGAGGATTAAGGTGTAGAGATGATGGATGAATTGAGGTTTGATTTTGCGCCCCCTGGCCTGCAGACTGTGTTAAAATACTCCTTCAGCCAAACTTCCACCAAATATTTTAGGTATTGAGTTTGTTAGCTGGATTCTAGTGCTCAGCAAGATGAGATCTGCAGCTAAAGATTATTTTATATCGTTACTTAAAACTGCAGTAAACAGACATTTTGGGGAAAAAATGCAAGAATGCACTGCAGTAAACAGCATTCACTTGTGGCTTCACACAGTCTCCTGAATCTAAGTCCAGTGTCTCGATTAAATTCTCTTTAGCATCCATACATGTGGACCCAGCATGCATGCGTTACGGTTGTTTGCTCACAGTTCCATACATGTGCAGTAGGTTGTATCTGTGCATGAATACGACCATCAAGCAGTGCTGCCCTCATAGAGCAGTCATCATGTGGACGGAATCAATACTCATATTGAGCAGCACATGGCTGTCTGCAGAGGATCCATGTGGGCTGAAGGAGATGAAGAAATTTACCTCATGCATATTCTTTATACTCTCCCACCTGATCTGGTAAAAAGCCCTGTGATTGGTTTAAGTCAAGAAGAGTTCCTCAAGTCTTGTTTTCATCTCATAACTCATCTCTTAATCACAGTGTGCTGGTCTTTTTTAAATTTTTGTCCAACGATGCCCAAAAATAAATACTAAAAAACTGCCTACTGTAGCTTTAATCTGGGACTCATCTCCTC